ACCATATGATGCGTTTAGTATTACACTGGACTGGACTACCCGACTAATAAATTACATTTAACTTACATAACTTACATTTGTAGGTTTTTTCGTTTTATTTGTTTACATAACAATATCTGTATTTAGATTTTAAATACCAAGATTGGGACTGGACTGAGACTGGACCGGACTGATTTTCATTTTTTTTTTTTTTAAACCGGACCGGACAGAAAATAAAACATTTGATCTGAGAACTAGACCGAACTACTCCTAAAAATTATTGAACCGGACCAAACCGACGGTTCAATAGTTTTTTGTACGTTAGGATCGTACTAGACCGGACCACGCAGAGCACTAACACTCACGTATAAAATCAGCATTTTGATTTTTTCGGTTCAGTCGGCTCGGGTCTAGTGTATGCGCGGCTTTAGTTTCGGGTAGTTTTTCGGGAAACGAAATCCACGGTGTTACGTTATCCGCGTTTGATTGGAAATTCGCCAATTGCGCGCAAAATCCATTTGCTGCACTCATCTTCTACAATGTTTGAATTTATATGGCGCGCACGCGGGTTTTTCGATGCCAACAATCGAAACGCGCGCATTGGGTCGCCGCGAATCTGTTCGCCGATCGTATTGCGCCCGAGAACAATATCCGTACCGGTGCGGGTCCAGTCCACATTATTGACGGGAGGGGCCGGCGAAAACTTCTGAGATCTCCGGGGCTGCGGGAGTTCCGGGCCCCCTTCCCTTCGCAATTGTTTGACCAAGACGCAACAAGACCACTTGTACATGCTTTGGCACAACAAAAACATTGTATACAAGGCCGAAACGATGGGCCCTCTCGGACGTACGGGCCCCGGGGCTCTAGCCCTCCCTGCCCCCCCTCTCGGCGGCCCTGCGGATTATAAATGTGTATACACATTTGCTACTTGGACACCCACCGGTAAATGCGACACATTCCTTCGCCCGGCGCAATCCGCACGGGATTGTTTCCGATACCGCGGTATTAATCCGTATCCGGTGCGGTTCGAATCCGAAAACATTTGATTTCGCGAATGAAATCTTTTCGGGCGTACTGCTCGCGTACAGTAACGAGACAAAAAATGTCCACTGACATCGAGGCACGTATTGGGCAGAGCGCGACGACGCGTCGTTAAACTATGCACACATTAATGCCGCCGATCGGGTAAGCGCACCGCAGCAATTACACGTGCGGAACACAAAAAACAATGCACGTCAACGATTGCGGGATTACTTCACTCCGATAACGGACGTTTTTTCTCGCTTTTTTATCGGTTTCCCGAGCGCGTTTAGTATTGTATACTCGTGTCGATGCGTCACGAGGACAAAAGCGTTTCGTGATATCCGATATTTTCTATGTCGTTCGACACTGATGAGCGCCGGCAGTCGTCCGCAAAAAAAAAAAAAACACAATCGGTAAAAACGTGTCGCATCGTCCGCCGTTATCGACAATCATTTCGAATCACGGACGTGCATAGATCTGATACGGACGATTGTTCGAAAAAATGCACATCTCGGTTTGAGTTTCGGTAACCGATGAGTTCGTCGACGTGCCGTCATGCCAGTCGTGACCACTGTGCGTGTGCACGATTCGAAAAACGTCGACGGACAGCATTTGCCGGCTGGTTCGAAAATGCAATTAAAACTTCGACGAAAACACACGACCTGGAACTATTGGTCGGCGGAGGAGCAAAATTGCTTTCAGATATTGTCAGCATCGTAATCGCGTACTACTTTTACTAGTAGGTACTACCGCATGGTTTGATGGAGGCCAAACCAATGAATACTGAACGCACTTGCACGCAACACGGACGGCGTTGGGATAACGTGTACGAAACGGTAACAGCGAACGCCAAACAAATATTAGCATTTCGGAAAACTCCGGAATCCGGGCCCCGGCTGCGACCACCGGTTTCGCCGAAGGTTATGCCGTTAGTCGGCGTTTATACACGCATGTAAAGACCGTCCCGGTTAAGGCAGCAGATTAAGCCTACTATCAATTTTCTAGAAAAAAATTAAGTGTCTTATTTTGTATTCTTCTACGTTCATCCAAACGTAAATTTTCCGGTTCGACCGTAGGCATCGATGAACTCGTATTGAGTAATATTCGACAAAATCCTTATGCGAGATTCTGCCCGAAACGAAATCGATTCCGACAAACAAATATTCAGTTTTCGCGCGCAATATCAACGAGTCGTGCACCTACACGAGGCTTTGACGGTACATTTGGAAAAACAACGTAAACGGTCGAACAGTTCGGTACTGTTCTTGTAAAATCTTATACCGACCACGACGACCGTTTATTCGTGACAATCGATAGATTAATATTGGCGCGCGTATTACACCGGTCACGAAAAAAAACGTTTCATGCGCATGTTCATGTCCCGAAAAGCGTACACGCAGTGTCTCGTTTAGAAAACAATCCGAGACGACCGTTGTGGTTTCGCGACAAGTTCACCGTACCCTAACCCGGATTATGATAATTTGAGGCCCGGGGCCAAACAATTTCAGGGGTCCATAACCATAATCAAAATATTGATGACCCACACATAATAATATTTCAGAGACAAAAATATTATATTCTAATTTATAAATTTATTTCTTATTTTTTCATTAATACAAAAAATAAAAATGTTATTTATTTTTTCTTTCTTTTCGGGAAACAAACCCTTTAATTATATCATCGGTGTTAATTACCTCTAAAACATTACTCACTGAACACAAAACCTTAAAACTATATACTATTTTATACTTGTTTTTTATACGAGCTAAAAAAAAAAAGGTTAAAAAACGAAAATAACCTACTATCCACTAGGGGCCTACTATTGTTTGATATCCGTTGTAGGCCCGGGGTCATGGCCCCCTCTGCCACCACCCCTTAATCCGGGCCTGACCGAACCTAACCGCCGATAGATGTTCGCCCTGTTGGACGTCTCGAAATCGATTCATCTGCGGTACAGGAATGCGCATAGCGGCCTAACCGACGTGACCGTCTGGTCGTAGCGCATTTGGAAGCGGTTTCGAATGTTGCTTTTGAATACCGCGCTGCGGTTTCCGCGCGAAACCAAAACGCGTATTTCTTCTGCGCACCCGTACACGAGTTTAAAATTCAACAGCGACGTCTTCGCGGGCAGCGTTCTAGGCCAGCCGGTGTCCTACAATATTTTCGTTTCTCCGCGTATCGACTTGCCAATCGATGTGTTGTTTTTCAACGCGTTCGCTCGGGGTTCGCTTTTCGTTGTGTCCCTCGCGCGCGGCAACATCAAACGGGGGTTACGGCGCAAGTTTACCGGTTGTGGTTTTCCGAGCCGACGGCCGGAAACGTTTTTATCCTTACCGTTAATATTCGTAAGAGGACTGTTTTTATTATTTTATCGATCGCACGTACTCCGTGCAACGAGAAATATCGTTATCGCGCGCGCAGCAGCAGCCCACTGGTAACACTCAACTCCGATCGACCGCTGCAGCGCGACCCCGGTTGTTGGATTTCGTGTACAATATTTTTATTCGAGACGTTGCAGCGGCAGTGCACTCGTACACGCGCGTGCGTACCCAACCCCAACGAAAATGAATAGCGAGACCGCAACAATAGCGACTGTGCACAACAATCGAGTCGTCCGCGTACGTATTATACGTGTGTATAATTTGAAAAATACCGACGATGCAATGCGCACTCGTACCCCCAAGGTTTCCCGCAGCTGTGATACGCGCGCGCGCTCGGAGAGGAGAACATTAGGTCACGCGGAGCCGGGGCCCCAGACACCGTAATTAAACTTTTGAACGCCTCGCGCGTCCTTGAGGATTGAAAAAATCAAAAGGACAAAACAATGATTCGACAATACACGGACGAACACAATAAAACGCGCGCGTACATACCTATTGATATACGCTCGTATATATATATATATATATATATATATTTACGTATATTGTACACGATCGTTGTTCACATAATAACAATATATTGTATGTAGGTAACAGCGATGTGTTACCGCAGAGCCACACATCTATTGCGCTAGTAGCGTCGCGCGTTGAAATACGAACGCACGAGGATCTTCGATCGATACGACGAATAAATATTGTTTTCGATGATATTCCTGGGTGTTGTTTCGAACGCACTCGATAGTGGACCGCGTGTCCTTTCACGAGGAGGACGTAATGTGATTATCTCGACTGTTACAAGATTCGGATCCGAAGCGATCGTGTAACGTAAACAGCACAGCTCTTTTCAGTATTATTATTATATCGTCCCGGAAAAGCGGGAGGAGGGTACGTGAGTATATCAGGGCCGTGTGTTAAAATGATTAATTGACCGTGGTGAACATGAAGACAAAAAAATGACGAAAAAATGAAACCACAATATTAAACGCAGGAAATAAGTAGACAATGATACGTTGGGATGAAACAATTTTAATTTAAAAAGAACCAGCCACGTGCAGTTCGGTGTACGGTGTCTGTCTAAAAATATCGTAATAATACGTACGACCGTGTACACGGTCGCGTCGGGAAATCTGCATAATTTATTTGATAGATTTCAACGGGAGGAGTAACAAAACCTCATAATTTGTTCGCAAACACACATCATCGTATCTCTCTTTGCGCACAGTGAGAGAAATTGATATTTTAAGCGGACAACATTTATTAGTCAAGAACCGTATTAACTTTTGATGATTTTCGAGTGTGATTTTCTCTTATTTTCAAATAATCTTTATTTTTTTTATTTTTTGCTTCTTGAGCTTCTTCAGACAACATTCCAATGAGAAACGGAGTCAGCTCTGTAAACTTAGATCCGTGAATCAAAATGTTATGAACACTTGGTAGCATTTTGTACCAACTATATAGTAAATATTTGTTTTATTTGTTCTATTTATATATATATATATAGTACATTTTTGTAGTTTCTTGTGCATACACGTCTAATTTTTTGTAGTTAACATCATATAAACAAGCCAATAATAAGCTTAATATAATTTTAAATCTTTTTAAAAGTCTTTCATTCAATCAAGTAATCATTGGTACTTCTAAGTTATCTTCAAAAAATCTTCGAGCTACATTATCAGTATTTGATGTACACTTTCCTTGAACCACATTGTCAACTTTTAAACCTAATTTTCCCCATAAATTATTTTGGATTACTTTTTTGCGATTCATAATTTGATTTTTTTTGTAAATCTGTAGCCCTTTTCAACTCCAAAATACCTTTTTTGTATAATATATGCAACATCAACTCCAAACTTTTTATCCACACATGAAATGGAAACAATCCATACTTAAAATTAATTTCATTACAGGGAAATGATTTAATTTTTTCTAAATTATTCGTGTATTTCAGAGAACACTTATTATTAAAATAGATTTGACTCGATATATTGAACAAAGAATTAATAACCTTACCATCGACATTGTTAAATAAAAGTGAAAATTAGCTTTAAATTTATTTTAAACAATTTTAATGGTTTTAAATGTATTATTTCATTTTCTATTTTCTGTACTTCATCTTTGATCAAATAAATTATTTTCTTTTCTTTAATAAATTTAATAGGCCGACAATAACACGTTGATGACGATTTGCTATTTGCCCGAAACACTAATTTTTTATTATTTTATTTTGTACTGACGAGTTTTAATGGCACTAAGGAAATTAAAAATAAAACTCCCCCTTTTTTTCTGCATTCCGTTAATGTTTATAGTTTAATATATTTTATTATTTTATTTTATACTATACATTCTGTTGGACCATAATTTAAGTAATTAAAAATTATAAGCCATCAACTTACCTTGTTAACTCATTTTTTTAATTCAGTACCTACAAGTTTTTAAAAGAAAAACGTGTACAATTAAAACATCGATCAATAACAGTAATATTTCTGGAAATCGTACATCTTTCATATCGTATTACTACGGTTATGAACGTTAATCATGTGTTCAAGTTAATATCATAGACATTTTAAACTGGATTTTATCTTTGTACATGGTGTAAGGCATAATATTATCTAACTTTATATGGATTATGATATTTTTAAATTTAATTAGTTTTGATCAGATATAATCACAGATCCTGTCACTGTGCGGTGCACTGCGGTTTTGCGTAAAAATATTTTTCCGCTATAGCGGCCTTGAAATCGAAAACGAAAAATCTAACGAAAAAAGTCCACGAACGTTATAAAATAAAAATAAATGCGTATTGCGCGTCGAGAACATCGGAACGCAACAGGCGAAATTCGCGATATCTCCGTACACACGATTCGTCCAAAACCAACATCACTGTTATAACAGAACACTGCGGTTAGTGGCGTGGCGAGGGTATGGCGAATTGTGCTTACGTCGGAGCCGCGAACTGTTAAGGGCGTGAAATTGTGCTCAAGTCGTATTTTCATTCAACACATCGAAACGATATTTTTCCGTTAAGTATACTTTTTGAAACACGTAGATTTTGTACAATCGAACGATAATATCATGAAAATAGTACAAGGGAATTGATATAGAAAACTTCACATGAAGAAATTGTCGACGAACACGCCGGTATTGAAGCTTGTGGTTCTAAGCGAGAACAGCAAATGTTCAAAGTTTAAAATTTACACCGTAATAATAACATATGAAAATAAATCGCGTTTCTTAAAAAAAAATGTTGCCGCATCAGATTTTTAATCGGTTGAAGTCGTTTTCTTCAAAGTTTACCAGGGGCGGCGCTAGCTCACGCCCCTGACTGCGGTACACGCGAGAATATCGGTAGTGGCAACGGATCGCTATAATTGATATATGTAGTCGATGGTGCCATCGCGCTAGTACGTTATCGTTCGTGTGTACTATCACAAAATCCGTCCGTCCGATCTCCGCACGGTGCACGCGCATAACCTATATATATATTACACACACACACACACACGCAATATTAATATTACAAACCCGATGTATACCGAGTGCGTTTGCTGTGTTAAATGAACCGAGCGAATCGAACGTTTTATAAGGTATGTTTGCGGTCCGTACCATCGCATACGCGTACAAGAATAGCGCAGCTAATAATATCGTATATAACAATAACAATATTTTCTCCCTACCTTTCTCTTTCTCTGTCTCTCTCTTTCCCCGTTACGACATATCTGTTTCTACGTTTTTCTACATCTGGGCACGGTACGTAAGTACACCTACTCGTGTCTTGATATCCCATTGGCCGCGACCGGACCGTAGCATCACGTCAACGTGATCGATTCGCCGCGCACCGCGTCGTCCACAACGGTCCGACGACCAGGGGATTCGGTGTTGCATATTTCACCATGCGCGTGTGTGTACGAGTATACAGGATTTGGTGTATGAAGTATGTGTTTGATTTATATTCATACGCTTTTGTATTGTTTGTGTTGCATCCTCGTTCGGTTACAGAGTGGTGCGCGATGTTCGCCGCGAGGATATCATTTCGATAAAATACGATAGCGGAAGGAAAGGATCTTGCGAATAACCTAACCTAACCCGTCCACGCGTTGTCTGACGAAAACGATAGGTGCGTCCAACGAGTGTAGTACGTTCTACGCGAGATTTATGCGACCAGAGTGTTTATGGGCTCGCCCACGTTCGGACGTTACGCGCGAAAACATGTTCTCGACCGTTAAAGTCGCCGGTACGCATTGACGGCATGCGTTCCGTAAAGATGTTCCCGCAGCGTCTACAACAGTGGTACTAAACCTGCGCGGTTTGCTATTCAATTTTTTTATAGTAAAACAAAATAGTAAAAAAAAAAAAAAAAAAAGGTTAAGTTATTACTTAAACGTATTAATTTTATTTTCGAACATTTTCAAATCGGAATTTCACGATACAACCCGCGTACCCTTAAAAGAGCGTACTGATTAAATCAATGTTTACCTACAGCGTGTACCTATCGCAATCTGTAATCTTTTCAGTAGTCAATAAAATGCTTGAAAACAAATTCAATATGTACGTACATACTACGTGTAACAAAATAACATTATTAGATTGATATTATTCGTACTTTTATATTCGACGGCCCGCTCTGAGATAATTGTTTACCAATAATCCTCTACCAAAGTGACCCGCCGAGGAAAACAGAATTCGAGTGCCCCGTTCGCCGTCGGATCGAAATTAAACCGGTGAAGATCAATACCGCGCGCGTAATAATAACGCGGTCACAGCGTTTATACGCCCCGAATTCCGTTACGCGGGTTAACCTATACCTGGATGAACGCGTTGGGAGACGCAGAACATCGCGAAGAAAAAAAAACGAAGAAAACTCGACCGATAACACTGCGCACAGCCCTAACACTTGATTGTTGTAGGACGTGGAAATCTCTCCTCCGGAACAACGGTAATTAACGTGCGGACATGTCCGTCGCTACCGTTTTCCCATGCGTTTGTTACAACAACCTATACCGCTGCTTGCGCATACACTGGGATGCTCGTTTGACGCGCACACAATACTCGTCGATTTACGAGCGTTCGTTTTATTCATCATTAGTCCGGTCGCTCGAAGGTCGTCGCGTAGAGCCGAGTGAAACGGTGTTAATCGAATGGCCAATGGGATTTTCAAAATTACACTCGTTTAACAGAATGCTAATATGCGTACGGGACGGGGTGCGCACCTCTAACGAAATGCGAACGGGAGTGTCGATTTTCGTTTATTCGTTTAGTATATATTCGTGTTTTTCAACGCTCTCTCGAAGCGTATCCGAAATGTTTGAGCGGTCGCTCGAGGAGGATTCGGGTGACAACGTTTGATCAACGGTATCCTCGATGGTATCCCCGACGGTACCCTCGACGGTATCCTCGACGGTATCTTCGACGGTATCCTCGACGGTA